TGTGTGTGTGTGTTGTGTTCCCTCTCTCCTTTTAGCTGAGTTTAAGTCTCTATGTTTTATAAGAATGATTTCTACATCATGTCTACTTTCTTCTGTCGCTCATCATCTTATTAAAAAACATCTGCCTTTGCATCTTACATCTCTGTTTATTGGAATTGTGGAATGTTCTTTTTACCTTACTAGCTTTGGGTATCCTACCTTTATGCCATGTCCCAGTGGCAGAGCCAGAGCACCTAAATAGTATTACCCGTAGGTCCTTGTAGGAGGATCTATACCAGGGATACCAGAAATCAATCAGTCTTGTGTTAGTTAGTGCTGTCTGACTTATAAGGGGCTTGTTACCATTTTTGTGGGAACTTGGAAGTGGAACCAGTGTTCAGATCTCTTGTGGTCCCATGAGAGTGGAGCACTTGGTTCTGGCAGACTTCCAAAACTGGTGATGTGTCCATTCCTAGTTCTTGTCTCTGCTTGTCAAAATCTTACCTTCCTTCAGCCTTCTTGATTTATTCCTAGCATGTTTTCTGTAATTCTGTACACTCTTAAAAAATTTGTTAAATATGTTTTTATTAATTTTAGAGACAGAGGGAGATGGAGAGAAACATCGATGAGAAACATCAACATTAATCTGCTGCCTCCTGCACACTCCCTGCTGGGGATTGAGCCAGCAACTTGGCATATGCCCTGACCAGGAATTGAACGACCTCTTAGTGCATGGGTCAATCAATGCTCAACCACTGAGTCACACCAGACAGGCCTCTCTGAAAATCTAAACCTAGTAATGATTTTGTGCATAGAGATAGAAACAGCAGCGTTTCAACTTTAAGAGAGTGAAACTTCTATAGTGTGTGGCTTCCAAAAGTGACCCCAATCACTTTACATTTTACTTCATACTAGTCCATCATTATTTGACACAAGCAGGTATCTTGTATTCATTAACTTCATAGATCTAGATAGTTCTATAGTATCCTATGTATGGGAAAAAAACATAAAAGAACAATCACTGAGATTTTAAGGAGGTGCAATGTATATACACATCTATCTATCTATATATAAAAGCCTAAGTGACCGTTACAATGGAACGACCAGAACAACCAGAATGACTGGTTGACCAGTTGCTATGATGTGCACTGACCACCAGGGGGCAGAAGCTCAATGCAGGAGCTGCCCCCTGGTGGTCAGTGCACTTCCACAGGGGGAGTGCCGCTCAGCCAGAAGCCGGGCTCACGGCTGGCGAGCACAGCTGCAGCAGTGGGAGCCTCTCCCAACTCTGTGGCAGCACTACTGAGCGGCAGCAACAGGCGCAATGGGCCAGGATGAGCGCAAGCGGTGCCCCGCCCTGGTTCTGGCTCCTCCCTGGTTCTGGTTCTTCCTATATGGCGCACTGCTATATCCCCAAGGGGTCCCAGATTGCAAGAGGGCGCAGGCCAGGCTGAGGGACACACCCCCTTCCAGTGCACGAATTTCGTGCACCAGGCCTCTAGTTTCTTTTATAATTATCTCAAGGAAAAGTGATACATTTCCTAGGAATTAGGACACATAATGGCAGAAATTACACCTTTTAGAAATACTGCTTTACTCTCCTAACTGCTGTGCTCTATGTACACAGAGAGATGAGGGCAAGGAGATGGGTACTCCAGTGGTGGGAAGTGGAAGGGCAATACTCGATCATGTGTCTGTATGGTTCTCGCAGGTTCCTGCAGTCTGTTTTATTTTATTCAGTGTAAAGTATTCTGATGTTTTCTAACTAATAGCTGGATATGGTAACTTGAAAACAATGTCTTAGATACCTTAGATGTATTTCTGGTTATTAGGGTGGTATGTCTTTCCACAAGTTAGTCCTATTCTAACATCAGATTCTAACATTTGTAAAATTATAATAATCGCAGAGCCCTTGCTAATCCTATCTAATAAAAGAGAAACATGGTAATTAGCCGTACATCTGCTACCCTTCCCATTGGCTAATCAGGGCGATATGCAAATTAACTGCCAGCCAAGATGGTGGCCAGCAGCCATGCACTGAAGCGAACAGGGAGGCTTACTTGCTCCAGTGACTGTGGACTCCAACGTTCCCCGCCTGACTTGCCGGCCTCTCAGCTGCAACTCTAAGCAACTATGTTGCAATATAGAAACTAAACAAAACCCCAGAAACCTGCTTTAGTCAGCCGGGCTTCAGCCAGCCGGACTGCAACATTGTATCAAATACAGAAGGTAAACAAAGGCCAGAAACCAGCTTTCAGCAGCCGAGGCCTCAGAGCTAAAGCTGGCCCAGAATTAAAAAAAAAAGAAAAAAAGGAGCAGTTGGGAGCTT